GGGGGGGGTGCTGTCTGATGGAGCCGTGTCACATTCAGCTCTTCTGTCCCGTGCAGGAGGTGCAGACCAACACCGTGTCCCTGTGGTCCTACATTAACAGGTAACATACTCACCGCCTTGATAGGAGTGATAGTGGTAGGAGTGACTGTCTGACTGTTCCAATGTTGTCGTCCCCCCCCACCAGCCAGCCGGAGGACTTCACCAACCCCTTCTACGTGGACTATGAGCACCACGTTCTGTGTCCGCTGGTTTCCTCCAGACATCTGGAGCTGTGGACGGGCTACTACGCCCGCTGGAACCCGCGCATGAGACCACAGGTAGGCGGAGCCTATGGCCTCCAGATTATGGAAGTTACTATCAGACTCATACGGAAACGCACGTCCCCAGGCTTTCAGTGCAGAGCCCTGCTTGCTCTGCGGGCCAAATACATGCTGTTCTCTCTGATCCCACTAGGGGGCGATGTTGCTGTATTATGGAGCAGTAGTGTGTGATGTAAGGCAGTGTTTTTCAACCTTTTCTGAGCCCGGCACATTTTCTACATTAAAAAGATCCCGCGGCACACCAACAACCAAAAAAGTTACAAAATGACACCTTTTAGCATAATACTGCATACACGCCATAGTGTCAAACTCAATCCCAGGGAGGGACAAAATTAAAAATTGGGACTACGTTGAGGGCCAAATAGAGTCACCATTTAATAAACAGGATAGAAGGGATATTGGACAAAGTGCAAAAAGAATACATGTTTAGGTAGGCTACATTATTGTATGCATATGTACCAGAGCCAGATGTTTGGCATCTTTTCTTGGCTGCCAGTTCATTAATATCTGGAGTTAGGTTCTGTGCTGTGGAAACCCTCAAGATGGAGTGAAGGTGTGCAGCAGTGAGACGACTCCTGTGTGGGTTTGTGTTCATCTTCATCACAGAGAACAGCTGCTCACACAGGTATGTGCTTCCAAACATGCAGAGCGTTTGAGCAGCATGGAGGCAGAGTTAAGGCATCGTTTCGGTGGTGAAGCTTGGAAACTGTGCAGCGCCCTCAGAGTCATACTTTGCCTTGAGTGTCATCACACTGGAGGTCTATCAGCTCCACAGGTGCTCTTTCCACATCAACTGCAAACGGATTGCTGAGCAGTTCAAATTTAAATTTCTGAGCTGCAAAGTTGGCAAATCGCAGAGTGAACTCCGTGCCAAGTGCACCCAGTTTATGATCAAAATGTGCAGTCGGGAACACAGCGGTGGAGACTTTTACTGCATCACACATATCTGTGATGATCGCACGTCCCCGTCCCTGAAGCTGCAGGTTTAGCGCAGTGAGATGCTTCGTTATGTCGCACATAAAGCCAGCTCACATCGCCACATTTCTTCCCGGAGCTCTGTGGTGTGGCGGGCCAGTTATGATAAACGTATGATATTTTCTGATGGGCCGTTGTACCGAGGAACAGATATATGCTGACAATTTAATGACAAGTCTCTCAATGTGTTGATCCTTACTAGGCTTTTCATCTGGGTTAGAATGTTGTCCAGGGCCCAGTTCAGAGTCTGCATTTTTTCTTTTCAAATATTTCTCCATCGCTGTTCGTCTCGTCACCGCAACCTCGCACGTCATTTCATTCTACTGTCCTAAATGAACACGGTCATTACTGCGCTACCTACTGTCACCCACTGGCATGGAAGAGTATTTATTACTTAGCCAGACACTATATTGCAGCTCAGACGCTCAACAATGGCAAAGTATTTGCAACAACTAAATAATATTTTATTGGACTCATTAAGTGAAATTGGACATTTTCCTACGGCACACCTAACGATCTCTCACGGCACACTAGTTGAAAATCACTGATGTAAGGCATCAAAATCAATGTTGTTGTGAATGAATACAAATTGAAAAATTTGGTATGTAGGAAATAACATTTGTGTTTCTTATTATTTAAAAAACAGAAGCATTATGTAAACCAACATTTAAATGGTTAAAATGTAAAGGAGTGGATAGGACTCTTCAGAAAGCTCTGACTATCAGTGAGGCTGCTGAACATGACTGTTAAAAATTAACATATTAGTACTAATGATAGGATTTTTCTTGTGAAATTGAAATCTCATAACCATTTCTTTGTGTTTGCTGGTGTGATCCTCGGTGTGGTGTGTGTTTCAGGTTGTGTGTTTGCTGGTGTAATCCTCAGTGTGGTGTGTGTTTCAGGTTGTGTGTTTGCTGGTGTAATCCTCGGTGTGGTGTGTGTTTCAGGTTGTGTGTTTGCTGGTGTAATCCTCGGTGTGGTGTGTGTTTCAGGTGCCGGTGCATCAGACGCTGAAGGAGCTGCTGTTCTTAAGAGCGGAGCTCCAGAGGAGTGTGGAGGAGCTGCAGAGAGATGCCACCTCCCGCTCCTCATCCTCCTTCTCCGAACACTCCCCCTCACACACTGCGGGAACTCCTCTGCACAGTGTTGTCTGACACACATGCACACACACATGCACGCACACACACAGTTAAATGCATGTTTCAGCCCAAGTACTACAAATACTGATGTTTACAATAGAAAGGAGGCTTTACAAAGAGATTTTTAATTTTATAATAACATTCTTAAATACACTTTTAGCAAAGTAAAATGACCTCCTGGAGATGTTTTTATAGTTAAAAAAGTATTTAAAGAAAGTATTAAAAATGTACGGAGCCCCTAAAGGGACAGGGGGGAAAAATAAAGATGTAAACGTACTTTTCCCTGTGATAGTTGCAGTAGTTACGGCAATATGGGGCACTGAATCTGATGAATGTCTATCAGACCACAAATGAGACGAGCATTAGCTAGCTAGCCACAGCCGCTAACTGAAGTTCCATCTTCAAAGCTACAGAGCGCTGCCGTACGCTAACTAGCTAGCTAGAGAAAAGAATTAGCTAGCTAGACTTTTCTCGTTTGTGGTCTGATAAACACTAAATTCATCAAACTCAGGGCTCCATATCTCTATATCTCAAGTAGCTGTAGCTGTCACAGGGACTCCAATTTAACAGAAACTTAAGAAAACATAATAGTATTTCTCTTTTTTTCCCCCATGTCCCCTTAGAGGCTCTGTAGAAACTATCCTGACACGAAGCCTGTGCTTATTATTTATATTATTTAAAAACAATTCCAAAAGCACAGCTCCCCGGTACTGTGGGACTCTTACCATTCAACTCATGAGTGTATGAAGAAGTGCTATTTGTCTCAGGGCTCACTGATTCACATGACTGAAAGCTGCCAGTAACACGCTTCCTCTTCCTTCACTTTGTTATGACCTTAGAATCGTCGTGACTAACGCAACAGTTCTGTCCAAAGTCACGGGCGGAAACAGAAAATGTAAAAATATATTTTTTGGAACAGGAACCACAGAAGAAAGAATCCTGGCATCATTATCCTTCACCTGCTGCGTGTTTTCCTTTATTTGTATTTAGAAATAGCTTTTTTAAATTGTATTTGTCCTTCTTTACATTGCCTTTCCATGTGCCAACAGTGTCACTGCCCCCCCCCCCCCCCCCACCTTGTCTTGTACTGTAAATCGTTGTCACACATGAGCCAAACTACAGATATGTAGAGTAGCCCAGACTAGTTAGAAATAAGCACACCTCTTATGTATCATTTGTCTGTTTTATACAGTGTAATTATTCCAATGCTATTTAACCCATTAACACTGTCTACCTGTGGCATGCGATTGTGCAAATCCTTTTTCTGTACGTGATGTTTCTAATAATGAGAAGTTAAACCTCCTAAATGAGCCATAATCACTTCTGACATTCCATTTAAAAAAATAAAAAGGAACAATTGAAACTCCAGTCTCTTTCTTGTCTTTTGAAATGGTTTATTGAATCGCTTCATATTAGTAACAAGTACCTGTATCATCATAGTGGAATAGAGAGAAAGCAGAGTTCACTATTACGCTTCAAGCGATGAAGACTGTCCAACATTCAGTTGTCAGGAAGACGCACACTCGTAAGCTACAAGTAAAGTGTGTAAGTAGAGAAAAGCATGCATCAAAGTGTGTATGTGTATGAGAGCAGTATGCTGGAGGTGCGTATGTGTTGTATGTGACGGGCGGCCCTGCAAAGCCAGCTTCTGAGATGCTCCCGGCTCTGCTGGGCTCTGATTGGTTCTCCTTCCAACCACAAAGTGAGGTTCCAGGATTTGGGGCCAGCTTCGCAGGACACGGTGAGGGGCACGAGAGGGTACTGCAAGGAGGAGGACGGTCTGAGCGCGCAGTGTCACGTGACCTCTGTCATGTAATGCCATGCGGGTACCGGACAGACGCTTCACAAAGCAAGCTAACCACATAATCCAGAGCCAGCGTTCAGTGATTCAATTTATGTTGCGACGGTAACCAATTCTTAGGGTCAAGCACAGTCGTACACAGACTTGCGCTGCATTCGTGGGTGTCGGAATAAATCGGAACAACTTGTTCCCGACTGGGAAAACAATCGGAGAAACATAGATCCCGACGGAGAACATAATCGGAGAGATTATTTTTTCAACTGGGAGAATAATCAGCAAACTGAGTCCCTGCTGTTTAGTATTCGGTTGTAACCGTAGTCCACAGAGTGACCTAGATTAGCTAGAAAAGTTTATTATTATTATTGTGGCTAAACCAGTAATGTCAATCCGTTATCACAAGTGATTGTGGGATGACTGTATTTGTATAAAAAGTGAGCTGAAATCTCAGCCTTGATTATTTTTAGCACGCTTTGTAAAAACAGATCTCTGACACTGCTGCTTCTCTGGACCGTTCCTTTCCCTCCACCAGACCACAGCAATCCAATACACACCTGTATAGATCATACAGATGTTTCTCGTATTGAGTCCCCCCCCCCCCCCACTGTGTGTCCTGTACAGTCTGGTAACCCGGTCCAAACAGCAGTATGGTGACATGTTCCACGACAATAATGTCCACACTGGATCTTAAAGCAGCATCAACATCCAGTGTCAATAATCACTGAGTCATTCACACAGCAGTGTACAGGTCATTACACATTATACGATGTAATCCATCAAATCCTCTTCCAACCAGCAAACCGATTCAAATCTTAAGGACTTCAATCCTTTTCCTTCACGATTATTCCAAAACCTTTTTTATTTTTTTCAGTCAGTCCCAATGCATGAAGGCAAAGCCGATCTCAATTGATGCAACATCTTTGGTGAATTTGCAGTTTTTGCTACAGATGAAAGGTTTTTCTCCGTGTCACATTCAGACACTCGATACATTCAGTAAACAGAAAGGTTTGTTGTTTTTGTTGCGCTTTGTGAGGAGTTCAGCTCTCCGCGGGCCCGAGCAAGACCAAACGGCCGCCCACCTTCCAGTTCTCTGGGGGGGCACTGCGACCGCTCTTCCGAGCTGACCGCCCAAAAGGATCTGGAGGTGTGGATGTTGCTCGTGTGTGGCTACGGGGGGGGGTGTTAGATGAATACTGTGGAGAGTCCCTGTGGGACCGTACAGGGTGTAAGGCAGAGAGAGAAGCACCATTTGAATTACAGCTGACAGGGCATCCATGACGACCAAGCCACACTTCAAGTCCCAGTGTCGGATTGCTTTTTTCAGCAGTGTTTAAGGACTTTTAGAGGAACGACGCCAAGCGGCTGCTTTTCCAAGGCAACATGGAGACCGGGGTGTGGTGTTCATGCGGGACTGTGCTGCAACCTGTCAGATACGTAACACACCGCCAACGCTATTCACAGCTCATACAACACATACTGCCTCAGCAAAAAATCCTTCACGCATTCACCTCCATGTAGATACAGACTGTTCTATCAGACACTACTCAGATCGTTGCCAATCACTGCTAATGCCACGTTCACGTCACGTGTGGGCTTCTACTAGCTTCTTTGTTTTTAACATCTGGTTAGCAGTTTTTAAAGATGTGTTAATTGGTTCGGGACCAATTACCAGAGACCCCACCAGCAGATCGGAACCATGAGCGTGTCAAGAGGCACGCGTGGGTCCAAGCAATAGCTGAAATAACACAACTTTGGAGATTGTAAAGACCGGCGCAAGAGCCAAACAGAGCTCCCAAGTCGTAATTGTGACTGGGAAACGGTTATCGGACATATCCGACATGGAAAAGCAATCAAACAGAGATGCCTCTGCTAAAAGTCTGTCAAAGCAAGACGAACGCAACTCGGATAGAGCGCTGTAACTCTCAAACATGGGTTCGTCTTTTTGTTGTCTGGGAAAGTGAACGTTCTCAAGTTAGTAAATCCAATAGCTACCTTCCATTACGTGAACACGGCATTATTCACTATTGCTGCATTTCCACCGCATGGTACGGTACGGCTAGCTCAACTTTACTCGCTCTGTTTTGGTTTTCCTCGGTCGAGGTTTCTTGTGAGCTGAGCCGATACAAAAGGGTGCAGACCACCGATTGGTTGGGGAGAATCGTCACTAACTCGACACGGGACATCCTGCATCAATATCGTCAATGGCGACCGCGGTACCAAAAGCGAGTCGGGCCAAACCACGCAGTGGAAATGAGGCACATGTTGCATTGTGGGATAACTCAAGTCACCCACATAAAGTTCAATAATTCTCACCAGAGATTCTGAGCAGTGCTATAAAACGACAGACTAAATAGAACAGACTAAATCAGACAGTATAGAAAAACGGTGAATGACTTCAGATCTCGTTCAGGAACATACGAGAACTCTTCAGGCAAACAACAAAGCGTTGGCACTACAGAACAAGGAAGCAATAAAACTATCTACAAAAAGTTAAGCTACGTTATTAGGAAAGTCGGGTACAAAGTGTAAAAAGAGCAGGCGGAGAGTGTAAACACACACACACACTGAAGAGTATAATATGGAGCGTAAATATGCCCTCTTACACACTGTTAATAGTAGAAACACAAAAATGCTCACAGTAATATGTACAACCATCACAACTTTCCAAAAGCACTCGTAATGACACTATTCAAGATCCTACAGCTAACTACTGCTGCTAACTTCATCTACACGGCTAAAAGACTTCTAGTTTTCTACGTTTTTGTGCCAACTGATTCAAACTCCTCTCTGACTTCATCTTTCCCACTTTTCCACTCTTGCAAATCTTTTTCCACTGTGGCCATTTTGAACGTGTTTGTCCGATCATCTAACGGTGTGTTCAGACCAAACGTGACGCGGATTTCTCACGCGGAAAGATTACATACAAAGTCAATGCAAATACGCAAATGAACGCGAATACGCGTTGGTTTAAATGGTTCAACTTCAGCATCAAATTTAGTAAACAGAAATAAACATTGCCAGGGGAAGCAATATCTATGGAGTTAAGCTCTTGCTTTCCGGAAGGAGAACTCCAATTGGCTATTCAGGGAGAATATTCGCAAGTTGCAAAATACACCAAAAACGCTCCAGTTGCCGTATTCGCGCAAGTAACATGATGTGAAAATCTTAATTGTAATTGCAATAAATTTGGCAAACTCTCCTAGTGATGGGTATTAAGAATTAAGATATATACAGTTTATTACCTGTCATTAGGAGGGCAGCTGGAGAGGGTATCCAGTGGAGGTTTTGACTACAGTATGCAATGTTTTTTTAAGAGCGTGTCCCCGTTTGTTAGCATTTCTTACATGCGGATTATGCGCTTTACATTCCGGCTAACGGCTTCGTGCTAATCCAATAATCAACGTTTAGTGGTCAAGAAAAATGTAGCAATGTGCCGGCTTAGCTAGCTTATGTTTTATGTGGAAGGGAATCTTCACAGGAAAACTCCACAGGATTCCTTTACATTGTATTTAGCAACTTATGCTCGGGCCAATAGCCATCTGGGCTACACTATGGAAAATCTCTTTCACTTTTGTGTTTCGCGTAATGCTACTTTTATACATCTTAGCATAATGCTACACACGATGATGTAAATTTAAAATGGCCACCATGGATAAAGACACAATTTTTGAATTGTTCTGCACACACTGGCACCTCAGCGCTAACACAATAAAACATAGTACAAACAATATTAGCTTTTGAATGTAGCAGTTGTATCTTCAACACAAAGTCACATTTCACACATTTATCTGCCTGTCCGCGAGCCTCGTCACGGCCTGCTTGGACCAAAGTCTCGTCTTCTTTTTCAAATAGCTTCCCACTGAAGAAAATCTCTTTTCAAATTAACAGACAGAGAAGAATGCGCTGTGCATTTTCAAGCTCTAACTGCAGTGGAACTGATTCAGCTAGCATCGTTTTTATGCTACATGCTACAGGAATGCTGAGTCGTTAAAATTCCTGAACTTCTTTCTTTTGAATTCAAATTCAAGTTTTTTGTTCCTTGACTTAACTACTCTCATCACAACTATTTCAACATCACCACTTTTGAAAAACCAAGCGAGGCTCCCTTCATTAGGCATTATCATTTGAAAAAAAACTGAATATTTACACTATAAAAAGTCACATGTTGTAAGTAGACAGAAATGTTTGGACGCCTTATTTTTTCCCCACTGCAAAAAGATCCAAATTTGAATAAGGCAACTTTGTTCATCAAGATAGACAACATGAGGGTATACGTGAAGCAACATGTAGCAACTAATGATGCAACTGTCACATGATGTAAACAGTAGCTACCTGCAGTAAGTCCAGTTCTATGAGGTACGTCCCACTAATGGACTTTATCAGCTAATAGTGGAGCCCATTTAAGGGCAGCATACATGTTCCAAGTGGGTCAAAATGTAATTAAACCTCATGGGAAACTTCAAATAATGATTATTGATAGCATTATCATCATAGTCACAGATTTTATCCACATAATTATAGCATAAGTGTACTGAAAATGAAATAAACTAAATTATAAAGTCACATGTAGGAATAAGAGAAACTTACATTGTCATCATTACCTGCCAGGTTTGTCAGCAGGATTGCAGAAAAACTAGTGGGCTGATTTTAATGAAATTTGGTGGAAGGGTGTAGCATTGGTGAAGAAACAACAGATCTCAATCACAGGGCACATACACGCAATTTTTTTCACTTATGGGAGCGGCCTAGGCGGAGGTCGGCGCTCTCCAAATCCTATTTAGTTACATGGTGTAACCTGAGTTCTATGAGTCCAAGCTTTGCCCTTAGTTTAACGTGTTACTTCCCTCTATGAAGTTACACTAACCATGATAATGGTTTACTACCTACATTCAACACATTTTATCACCGCATTTCATAAATGATTACATAATCAGTTGCTACAAAGCTTTGAATAGAAATCTGGGGAATATTGCCAAATGTTCTTCATTTCACTCTTCTGTGATTATGTGCAGTGTTGCTACAGTTTATATCTGATTCCCGTCGCTGTGCATCAACAAAAGTAACATCTATGACTTGCCACAAGTAATCAGTTATGTGTCAAAAGGGGGAAACTGCTAAATTCCATTCAAAGTCAAGAAATGAGATATTGCTGATAGCTGGAACAAGACTTTCATTCATCAAAAAAAAAAGAAGACTGGGCTTGTCTCACAGCGCTCCCTGGTTCACATTAAATTCAGCTATAATCACTCTGCAAGTCACAAATCAGTGTCCTAAAATCCAATCAAATCAATCTGTAAACTAACCCGCCTTAAATTCAGCTCACTACACAGTGGCTGACTCCCTGTGAACTCGACACACACCCATAGAAGCTCAGAAGAGTTTCTTTCTCCAATGTATATTAAGACTAACCACGATTTGTATTTTCTTTTTCAGTATTCCAACTTCACTGTGTGTCTGGAGGTTAGTCAAATGCTACAACTCAACTCTGCTGACAGCAGAGGAATCTGAGTACATGCTGAAGGCTGGATTACTTACATTGTCAGTGGTGTTCGAACAGTAAACAATAAATAACTATATACACGTACTTTTGGCAAGGTGCGATACACTGTCGGCCATGTTTACAGCTGAGAATTTTTAAAAATCACTTTCAGCGCAAATGGACTACAAATCCCAACGTTTACAGCACGGAGCTGCAAGATCAACCAGGACATGCTACACAATAGACAGTCTATCCTGTAGCATGTTAGTGGCTGTATGTGTGTATGTTAGTGTGTGTGTGTGTGTGTGTGTGCGCAGGGGGCTTAGGTGGGGAATGCTTGGGAAAAAGCAAATGTTGGGGGGTGACCTGTGTGTGTGTGTGTGTGTGTGCGTGCGTGCGAAAGGTATGTGAGTGTGTTACACGGCATTCTCTTCAGTGGGTGGTTCAGCATTGGGTGGCTCCAGGAGAGTCTGCTGGACTGCAAAGACAAAAAATACAGACTCATTTATATACAGATCATTTCTATCAGCTAATATGAAGTACGTCTAATAGAGATGTGTTTTTTAAATGTATTGCACACCGTAGAGAACGAGAGAGTGTCGGTGTTACACCGTAGAGAACGAGAGTGTCGGTGTTACACCGTAGAGAACGAGAGAGTGCCGGTGTTACACCGTAGAGAACGAGAGAGTGTCGGTGTTACACCGTAGAGAACGAGAGAGTGCCGGTGTTACACCGTAGAGAACGAGACAGTGCCGGTGTTACACCGTAGAGAACGAGACAGTGCCGGTGTTACACCGTAGAGAACAAGAGAGTGCCGGTGTTACACCGTAGAGAACGAGAGAGACTTTTTTATTGTTTCCTATTTGTTTTCTATAGTGATAGATGAGACTGGAAAAGAGTGTACAGTAGATGTGAGTAGAGTGCAGTAGAGAAGTGCTTACCTTGTGGTTCTGTAGCCACCACGGCCTCAGGGTTCTTAGCCTTCACCATGTCAGTATTCAGGCTCTCTGTCAAGAAGCAACATATTTAGTGAACATCAACAAATACTGTGCCACCGCTGCTGCTACCACCGCTACTAGTGTTGCTCTACTTCTACTAACAAAGCTTTCATCACTAGTACTACAACCGATGAGTAGGTGTTATCTCCTGGGTTGGGTTGCAACAGCTATTCATAAATGAAATGTTGAAACATTAACTAGTTCTTCATAAGTTCTTAGTGACAACTCGCTAGTTTCAAACTAGTGATTTACTAAATCAGGTTGCACCATTTAAGCTAGGCTGTTCAATCAAGAGCAATCAACTATAGAAGGTAGTTTAATGCTAGCATCACAAGCTAGCATCACTTCCAAAAATTACAGTCCTAGAGGCGCAAAAGATATATGTATTGTAAAAAAAAAACATAACTAAGATCAACATTATCTTTAAACAGCAATGATCATGTTTCAGATCAGATATACAGTATAAGCTGTGTGGCTGTAGGTCATGTGACTAGTACAGCATAAAATTCTACTTCTTTTTTTGTTCCGTACTGACAGCAGCGAAACACTGGTGAGGTCGATGTCCTCAGGTTAAAACACATAACTGTGATATAAAAGCCTTACGTTGTATTCCGAAGCACAGCTTCTTCTTCTGGTAGGAGATGTAGCTGGTGATTGCACCCATCAGCGCCATAGCAACCGCACTAACGATCCCTGCAATGGTGCCCACTTCTGCCGTGGTCTCTGCAAACACACACAGATATATATAGGGAAGTCCAGCAGCCAGAGAGACAGACGTTAGGGAAGTCCAGCAGTTAGAGAGACAGACGTTAATTTATGAACAAACACTAGAGAAGGAGAAAACCCACCAGTGTTGTCGTCATACTGGTTTATTTCATCTTTTTCACCACTGGGACGTCCACCTGAGGAAACAGAGTAACAGCAGGGTTACATTCCTTCAGCTACTGGCTTCTACTGAGGTTTTCTATAAAGGTGCAGACATTACCTTTGCCTTTGTCAGGTTTGTAGGTATCGTCTTTGCTGACATCCAACAGATCGTCGTCAGAAAGTCCGCCTGAAAGAGACCAGATAATCAGTGAGGAAGAAGAACAGGAACTCTAATTGATAAACTGTCAGTTAAATGTCGCTCCTTAAAGGTACAGGACACTCTAAACTCCATCACGTGGTGAAGCTGCTCTGTTGTGTTTTCAGTCCAGGTTGTTGAGACTCTGCAAGGCTTAGTGCTCAAATCTGATTTTATATTTGCCAATATCAGACTCCAGTGTGAACTGGTCACAGCAAATTGGTGAGCAGACGATGAAGCAGGACAAGGAAGAAAGAGAGCCTCGTTTTCAAAGGTGGCTTTTTGCGGAGCGACGGCTGCTACCTCTGTGCGAGGATGCTGTCGCAGCCAGCAGTGGTGGGATCGTGAATGGCTTCACTGAAACAGATTTCATCCAGAATTTCAGGATGTCGAGGGGTTAAACCTCATCCATTAACGCCTCAAGAGCTCCCGAACAGCGCAAAACTGTGACCAATCAAGAGCGACGAAAGAGTCGCATGAATTCCAATTTGACTGTTCGGACTGAGATCGCATCGCAAAAAAAGAGCTGTATCTGATTTAGGACATCATGCGAAAGTGGCCCAAATCTGAATTTAAAAGATCAGATTCCATGATATTTGTTTTGTTCACTGTTTATGAAAAAAAACTACAAAAATACAGATCTGAGGCCCTTTTTGCCTGCAGTCTCTATTTGAATCCACATGCTCCATCTGGACTTCCATGAGAAAAGTCCACGTGTACTGTAAATATTAACATTAACATGTATGTTTCCTGTACCTTTTAAAGTAAAAAGTGATTTGCCTGCGATGCAGAATTTCTACTCAAAATAATCCGACCGATACTGGATTTCTGAGGCTGATCATGTGACGATATTTCGTATCAAAAAATAACAGTAATAAATAATTATTTTTTTTCAACTGTTTTGAACCACATACTTTTTTTTGTCATATCTGCCGTCATATACACAATTAATGATATGAATGAAGATATGGGCGGATTAATCAGTCTAACACTTAGTATACATGACAATATATTTGAAGGTTGATCACCAGCAGTCTTCATTGTGTGATTGCACCTCAGAGGACATTTTATCATTGATAACAATTCATAGAATCAAGATCACGTCACATATCTACAAACAAAGGGATTTGATTAAAGAAACATGGAACAAATACAAATATACAAAATGTTTTAAAATCATATGGTGATGGACATAGTGTAGAAACAGCATGCGAGCGACAGTGTTGCTCTATCAGCAGAGGGGATGATGAGCAACAGATGGAAACAATGAGCTCCCTCTCTTGACATGTCGAGTGTTATTTAGTTCTTCTGCAGCGCTCAACAACAGAGTACTTCTTCAAGCAGTCTGTGGGTTTAATTGTGCCGATGGTGGAGCCACGGAAACTGTCTAAAGTTCAAATTATATTTTCTGTTGAGCTTTGGGAGTTTTTTTCTCAGGACATCTGAGGAGAATCTTACGTCCACTGCTTAAGTCCTTCTTTCAGAGCTTTTACAATACTGCACAACAAAGTCAAACTTGGTTATAATCCCCCCCGATGTGTTTTCACACTAAATAACTCGAAGGATGTCTGTTGGAGAAGTCGAATGGAGACACAGGTGATGGATAGGTTTGGACTGCAGTATAGTTATTAAGGGCGAGGGTTCTTTATAATCTGATCCCAAGCTAATGAATTTAAAATGCCCAGCCTTGAACATACTGCAGATAATGACTAGTCATTTAAAGCTGCTATGTGTAGAACTTGTCCGTGATTGGAGCATCTAATCATCATCTGTTCTGATGTCACAGGTTGTTCATATTCTACACATAGTGGCTTTAATTCCACATGAAATCTTTGTTTTTTACAAATGCTAGTCCTACGGGAGACACTCCCACCCACCTTCCTGCCCCTTGTTCTTATCCTTGACACCAATGTCATTGTTGGGGTCCAAGGCATCAGCCAGGTCAAAGTCATCCGCAGCTGTAGAGGTCAAAAGGTCGGTGGTCAATGTTTTTGCAAAATAAAGGCAGAAGCAGGAGTCTTAAAAAAACGCATTACAACAGATAAACAGACGGTAATGAGGAGTGAAATTAAATTTAAACCTCTTAAATTAAAGAAAGAGAAAGTAATATATGCTGTCACGTGTGAGCTATAGACTGAATATGAAGATGGACGACATGACAGCTCCCCAAAAGTGAAGCTGTGTGTGCGCTCGACTGGTGATTGGGTCGGGGGAGGAAGTATGGGCGGGACCTAAATACCGCGATCCCAACTCTGGCCAAAATTATTATGTCAAAAGCACAAGATGGCAGCGCCCGTGTCCGGGATATTCTAGCTTCATTTTTCTACAGCGGGGTGATGTGCGTCGTCCATCTTTACACACTGTCCACAGTGCGGACTAGCTAACTAACATATGACATAATGTGTTCCTCCGATACCTCATTGATAATTCAACGATCACTTACAGCGTAACTCCCACACTATATTCATGCTAAGCTAAGCTACATGTAGCTACATGTAGAGCTTTCAGATAACAATCAAAATGTTATATGTGATACCTCCGTGTATTGATTTTATTGTTGTATATGTGCATTTCCACTGCTTCTGCTTTGTCACTGTTAAGCTACAGCTAATGAAACTCATTACTTCCTGCTCTTATTTCACAATAAAAGCCAACTACCTTTTTAATGTTAAAGGACAAGTGTGAAGGATTTCGGTTGGATTTATTGTCAGAAATGGAATACAATAATCATAACTAGGTATTCATTATCATATTTGTAATCACATGAACTTAAGAATTGTGGTGTTTTCGTTGTCTTAGAATGGGCCCTTCAGATTTACAATGGGAGCAGGTCCTCTTCATGTTGCACTGCCATGTTTCTACAGTAGCCCAGAACAGAAAAAACTAAACAGTTTCATGTTTTTACGTTTCCTGAAGGCCACCGTAGTTCTCCGACACACTTGGAAAGGGAAGGGTGAGCAGAGGGGTTTTCATCTTGTTGTAATCTGCAAACTCACCACTAGATGCCTCTAAATCCCACACACTGCTCCTTTAAACATCTGTGCAGGGCGTTTCCCCGACAGTATAGCTTACCACCTGATAATGTGGAACTGACTGGAATGAATCAGTGAGTGAGTAGAGTACTGGTATCAAGGACGAGGATCAAGACTACAGGTTAACATGGGGGAAAGTTGGATTAACAGCAAATTAAAGCAGAAGCAGAGTAGAAATAAGAAAAAAGGCTTCTAGGGTGTATTTTTCTTATTGTCCCAGACGGAAGCCATTGGTTTCCAATCATTCTGTATGATATGATCTCATAATGATAAAGTAACGCTGATATAAATCAATGTAGACCTGATGTTATCAGAGGTCATACAACTCAAAGCTGATTTTCATATTGTACAAAACCAACTAATTACAAGAGACACATTTCATAATCATAACATGTTCTAGTAATTTGGGGGTACAGATCTTGTTTTTATAAGATGCTGAGTATAGTTAGTTGAATCCAGCTCCATTCAATTCAGACTTGTGCATTGCTCAAAGTGTTAAAAAAAAGCTACAGGTTCGCGGTAAGATTACCGTCGTGACTTTTACACAAAAGGCACTCAAGGGTTTTGACTTCATTGAGTGTTAACGTGTCCGGTGGTAGTCAACACGTTTCATGGCTTACATCACTATGTTTCAGGCTAACGAGTGACCATGTTAACTGGTGACTCTCGGCCGAATGCGTCGTGGTTGCTCGTAGTGACGGCAGCTGTTTTTAACACAAACAGAACATGTAGGTGTCCTCGTAAAAGAGGACATGGGGAACATGCAAGACGAGCGGTGTTCTAGTGTACTTACCTGGTTTACTGTCACTATCCAGAGCGTCAGACAGGTTGAAGACCTGAGACAGGACTACATTCCAGAGAGGACAGAGGAGACAGACACGTTACACTGAATCTGACACATAAACCCAAAAAGGATTCAAACTGGTCTCTTTCAACATTTTGTAGAGGACTGAGCATGTCTGGGATCAGTATTCCAGGCCCCTGCTGGAGTAACTGTGTCACACAGATACAAACCCGCGGCCCTGGTGCCAATCGGGGCCCTCGGTGCACTAATCCGCTCTATTTGTTGTCTGGACTGCAGAACAGAGATCATTTACCAGACGTGACACAAAGGCAGATACAAACAAACAGAAGCTCATTGGCTACCACTGACAAACAAACACATGGTGTGTATGTGTGTGTGTGTGTGTGTGTGTGTGTATGTGTGTGTGCATCTATCTTTGAGGACCTTTTGAGTTTTACAGAGGGAGGACATTTTGGCTTCACTTTTTCAAAGGCCTGTTTGAGTTTTTAAATGAATATTCATTTTTGCAGTGTTCATTTACAAAAACAAAACAGATTTCTTAAATGAAAGGGTAAACAATAAAATGAATCCACTCCATCTGATCCTGGTTGATGCTGTGGTTGTTCCTTCACTCTGCTTTATGTGTTTCTATTTTTTATAATAAATACCCAACTCTACAGCAGAAATAAAAGTGTTTACAGCCTGATACAAAAGACTGTTTTGGGTCTAAAACTCAACCATTGCAATTTTTATTAAGGCTTATAATTATGCATAATTTAGGGCGTGGTCACATTGAGTGGGTGTTAGCCGCTAGGCGTCGCTACAGCTAATTCAAGTAACTGAACTTGACCTCTTGGCCATCTTTGAGGTGTTTTTTTAAAGAATTTTCATGCAATTTGGACATACTTTGGCTTTCTGTGAGGTTAATTGTACGCCGGGCAACCTGCTGGCCATTGTGTGTACGTTGGATGATGGTCTGGATGACCTCGTCAGTTTCCATGTGTAATGTCCTTGTTTCACCGAAACTTCGCTAAATCCTGGAATTACTGGCTTGTTAGCTTAGCTCTAAGGAGTCGGTCGTATATTTTTGCTGATAGTTACATTACAAACATGGCCTGTTATTTGCAGCCTAAATTAGCATCCCAATTAAAATCCCAGTTGTCAACGGGAATTACAGCTGCACCTTGCTAACCAAGCTAGCTAGCACTAGCTGCTAACTTGGCTTTAAGCTAACGGGGACGCCCCTCAGCGAGCCTCACTCTTCCCCAGCTCCAAAAAAAAAAAAAATGTGACAGGTGGAGTGGGTGGCACTTTGAGCTTCACTTTGGCTCTCCAGAAACCCATGGGCGACGTCACCGAGAATTTGTGCAACAAGCAACTACACCTTGTGATTTACAAAATGCGTTAAAGTGCTAATTGTCGACCTGTGATGGAAACTTTGGTCTCCTGTGTGAAAGTCAGATGTGCTGCCCTCCACCACCCCGAGCCCATAACCTCTGCATGGCTACATAGACATATTCCCAATAGGCAAACTGGGCTGCGTTCTCATTCCTCCTCCAAGATGCCCTGCCCACCTACTGCCCAGTGCCAAGGGAATCGACGCAATGGCACTAACACATGCTGATACAGCAAACTCTCTTAACATGGGTAAAATAAGCTCCAAGTGAGGTATTATTTTAAAAATGGGGAAAAGGCAACACTGGTGTTGGATGTATACTCTGTAATACCAAGAGTCCAGGTATCAGGGGATACAAATCTACAACAGTTATGAGCAGACACTGATTCCTGCCTCCAACCCCGACTAACTAATATTACCCTTAAGATATATTAGTATATATTAGTATATTAGTATTAGAATTATACTTAAACTACCTGGCATAAGCATTTTCAATCTTATGCCTAACCCCCCCCCACATGGCGAGCCAAAATTAATTCCCAGCATTTGCATCTCATTTGCATCTTAACATTGCACTTACTAGCCGACCACTGGTTGGGTAAATCCTTTTTTCCAGTTCATGGCCACACTCATATTTAAATCTATAGGTTATCATGCAGACCTTTGCTTGACAGAGTCCTCACACAGTAATCTAGCATTCACCTGGCTGTCTGGACGTGGTGGTGTATGCTGGAGACCAGTGGGGGTGAGGACAGGTGCTACAGTAATGCAGCACTAAATCATTTTGATTCTTCATCTTCTAAAGTGACTAACTTTTCAGATTAATTATCCCAGAGAGTGACATCATTGTCAGGGGGGCACATGCCGCTGCAACCTAGACAGACAGGATACTGTGGGTGGTGCCACATCTCTTTGATCTATAATAACTCATGTCATATTTAATAAATTTATATAAAAAAAACTAAAATTACTGGATCTACTGTAAGAAACTCTATAGAATAATTCCACTTAATGTAACAATGTGTAATTACTGAACCTATTACTGCTGGTTATAAGCATCAGTAATATCTGGAAAAAATGCCCAAAATAACAGATTTAAGCTCACATGATAAAATCTATAACGCGTGCATGTATAATAAAATAGTATTAATGTGAATGGACGTGTGATAGGAGTCTCTTTAACGTCTGCCTCGGCCGTTACTCGGCCTTGAATCAAAGTGCGGCACAAAAGGCGGAACGTGTGCGGGACAAAGCCTTACCTCCCAGCGGCAGCAGCAGCGCCAGCAGCAGGCAGAACGACCACAGAGTGCGGCTAGCCATGGTTTCCACACACGCGAACAGTCGGTACAAAGTGATAAAAGAGCGGTTAAAGTAGAGGGCCTGTCACCGTTCCGTTTTTCTGCAGCCTGAGGTTCAGCGCTGTCTAGAACGCCGCATACAAGGCGTTCACTACGGCCCCTGTGACACTCCCACACGGTCCTGCCAAACCTTTCAAAATAAAACCCTCCGGTTTCCTTTTTGCCAAATATAGAAAGTGATGAATGCCAGCAATGCTAAACGACCCCTAAACTATTTTATCAGTACGTGATGAATATGCAGTTTCAATCATGTCCTGCAATTACATATCCCTTCCAGTCAGACACGTTTAAGACTTTTAAAATAACAACACATTAGCCCCAAGTTTGCGTGTCTCATGTAGCCTGTTAGCATTCGGGTCACAGAGGAAACATCACAGATTCTCAAATAGAATAAAGGTTGTTAAAAAAAAATTGACTATTTCCAGAATCCACAAAGACTGCTCCAACCATCTGGATGACAAAAATAAAATAAAAATGGATGAATGTGAAAACAAACTCAACACAGTGAAGCTCAAAGGTGGCAGTGGGAACACGAATGAAAGCTTGACTGGAGGGGGACTTTAAATTCAATTGCAGTGCACAAGATGAGTATGTCTGCTCTGCTGTCAGTCAGTGGAGGAAAGTAACTAACGTTTATTTAGAATTTGTAGGTGTTTTTACTTTACTTGAATATTTATTTTTTCTGCTACTTTCTACTTCTATTCCACTACACTTTAAAGGGAAATAGTAGATCAATTTTGAAAAAAGAGAAGAAAAAAAAACATGATATGGTAATAGAATAAATACAATTTGTCATTTGTCATGTTTGACATGTCTATTTGAAAGATCTCCCATTTAAACTTTAGATAGTTTCATTGAAAATTAAAAAAACGTAATCTTTAATTATTCATCTCATGTACCCTGTGTTCACACCAAACGCGGCACGAATTATTCGCGCGAATAGATTACATACAAAGTCTATGCACAGACGCGATGAGACTGGAGTGACGTGAATTTTTCAAGGCATGGCGCGTTTGGCGCGGTTGACGCGAATTCGCGTCAACCGCGCCAAAACGCCCATAACACGTGAGTTGAAATTTTTCAACTTTGCCGAAAAAATGGCGTAATGCTGCAATGCGATAGCCTATCAGCGTTGAGATGTTTCTCCTGTCATCACTGACGTCCTGCCGTTGTTGAATCAGGAAACAAATACTAAAGCCGTCTGTCTTCAACCAGAGCTCTACGATACCTCATATCAATAGAGACCGGACCAAACTATGTGTATAAATGTGTGTGTGTAAACCATATGGTACAAACAATGAAAAAGATGCTGCCGTATTTACGTCTACATGACGTTATGTTGAGTGTTGATGGAGCTGCTACAATGTTAGCTTAGCCTAGCACCGCTCGATCCGAGCTCCATTGAGAAAACAAATATTTTAAAAGTTATTTGCTTGTCGTCTTGAGGAGAGAACTAACTAAACATGAATTCAGACTTTTTACAAATCTGCATCATTATGTAGTTAATTCGGAGTCCCTTTTTGTCGGTTTATTGCCGTTAAATCACAGGAAAATCAGTTTATTTTGTGTTCATACAGCAGTAGTAAACAGCGACGTGTGGCTTGCTAGACACAGTGAATACAGCTCGATAAAATCCACGGAGCTCCTCCGGACTATGTTATGAACCAGACATGACGGAGTTTAGTTTCCCGGGATATCTGGGACTTCCACAACACTACTAAGCAGAAATATAAGTTATTTTTTCCATGGTTGATGGCGGACAGTTGAATGGCTTTCAGGGCGATAAGCCCTGCCCCCTCTCCGGCGCCTCTAGCGATATTCACGCTAATGAACACAAATGGTCCAAGGCGAGACCAGCGGCGCGAATTACACGATTAACAGTGTGAACACCATTAGATATGTTGTGGCACTTTGGAGGGGCCCAACCCTTAGGTTGGGAACCATCAGTGTTATCAAACTAGCTCCAACTCGAGTAGCTGATGACATGAATGGTAAATGGACTTGTACTTGTATAGTGCTTTTCTAGTCTTCCAACCACTCAAAGCACTTTTACATTATCATTCACAGCCATTCATACACTGATGACAACATTTCTGTGATTTTATTTCAGGCAGATTTTAAATGCAGGACTTTTATTGAGTTAGTTTGACACAGTGATGATGGTACTTTGACTAAAGTAAAGGTAAGTACAAGGAGCCTACCTCAGATATGGAACAGCCCACCAAGCCAACACTGTTTATTAATACGTACTAATACTACTGTTAGTACGCATGCATGCTGATTTGCAGGTGTATATATATTTGGGGATTAAGGTGTCCGTCACATTGTAGGTAGGCGTGGTTTTCTGTCCCTAAACTGCGGAAACAGGCTTAATTTGCTCCAAAAAGCTGGCAGCAGCAGCGGACACACGGGACCAGCACAGACTACATACAGACCAGTACTTACAAGACACCCTGTCCACACAGCACTGAGGAGATGGGGGACAAAGCAGGGACTAGGTAAGACAGCCGTCCAGTCTGCTTGTGTGTCTGTCACGGTACGGTAATAGAAGACGTAGCCACGCGACGTTAACTCGTGAGGAGAAAAGGGAACTATCCAATCTCCCGTAAGAAACGGACCAATTCAATCTCTGTTGTTTTATCGCTGTGTGCGACGAACACTATGAAAATAGAGCAGAATCACGTGACTCTGACACGCTCTGGATTTGAGAGGACTTTAAATTGATTTTTAAAAGCTATTTATCAATAAATATCGATTGATAGTAATGCCGAATTGAAGAGTGGATGCCAAAAATACCAAAAAGTATTGTCCAGCCATGTGCAGTATGCAGCTGTTACGTTTGACCGTAAATCAAGGCAGCGTCAATTTGCCATAAAATACATACATTTTGGAAGGGGGATCTGGCGTAACTTCCTCTTGTGAGAAAACGAGGCGTATTGGGGTGTCGAGCACTGTAGCAGAAAGAATGTAGCCACCGTTGTTGCCTTCTAATAGGCTAATAATCGTTCTTGCTTTTACGTGGACTATTGTTTAGGTTGCTTATAGGCTACAGTAAGCCAATATAAAGATGTCAGACGTTGTTAAACCGGACAGGTGTGTGACAGCGCTATTTGTTTAACGTTTATTCACTTTTACAAGGTTTGATTTAGCATCGCGTTAGCTTATTTGTAGCTTTCAGAATTGGCTATTTATGTAGCTACGCTGCTACTATGTTACATTATTCTTAGATGAACTCAGCCGCGTCAAACGTCAAGTCGGTGTTTGTAGTCTATTTTTGAGAAAGACAGACACTTATTCCTGTGTATTGTACATATCTGTCAATGCAAAAGTCTTAAATATAAAAACGAGGAACACATAAGAGCCTGAAAGTGGAGATAAAGGAGAATTTGACAGGTTTTTCTGAAGGTGTCTTCTTATTTAGTACCACTAGGAGTCGCCAAAGACAGAAATAGGCTGCTCACATCACAGGGGCTGTCAAGGGGAGTTGCGTCATTCTTCAGTTCTGTCTGAAAATAAAAGTGAAGCGCTCATATGTACAGTGAAAGAGGCTTTGCTTGTTGCTGAAGGCCACCATTGTCCTCTGTCACTCTTGGAACAGGGAGGGGTGAGTGGAGGGGTATTCAGTTGGTTGCAATCTGCAGCCTCGCCACTAGATGCCACTAAATCCCACAAACTAGTCCTTTAAACGTTGATTAAATATGACAATTATACGTAATCTGACCGATTTATTTTTCATGAGCTACTTGATTTAAATTAGAATTAAGATTAAAAATTATATGAAATAATATGAGATTAAAATGTCCTTTGTGTTTCTAAAAAGTTGAAAGTTAATGATTTCTAGTTTGTCAAAGAAATTAGAAGCCTTCAGAGGTCAAAGTCTCTCGAATCGCTTGACATTTGATTATTTGTTTTTCATGTAATTCCACTTGTGGCTAGAACAGACAATTTATAGAAATTACTTTTGTGAAACTGCAAGTGTGAACAACATTTAAATGATCTTGTGGGTTACATCCTGTCCTCAGTGCTGACCTCAGTAGCTTCATGCCCGGCTGAGCTGAGTTTTATGATGATACATGTTGTTTTTTTTGCCTGTAGGATAAGGGGTTGACAGGAAGGGTTCACGTGTGTCCCCTGTTCAGGAAGTAATGGACATTTCTGTTGATAATCAGGATGTGGATTTTGTTCTTTGCCCTCGTTTTCTGTCCACAGAATGTAAACGGCAGCACTTTCCTGCTAATGTTCTTAAAACTGCAGCAGTGTGCATAACCTTCAAGCTGACATGGCCTCCTGAATGTTCTTGACAACAGCTCTACTTGTAGGCCAGTAACAATCTTCTTCTACAATAATGTATGAAGAAGCCACAATAATAATAATAACAATAATAATAATAATAATAATAATATATGACGAAGCCACAGTTTTATGCTTTTGTGGTGGTACACGTGGACTGATTGGCTGATTAGTCTCAACCCTCCCTGCATACACATTATTGGTGACCGCTGGCTGCATTTCCTGGAATACCCTTCACCCGCTTCCTGTTGAGCTCCAGCACAGACACTCTGCTCTTTTCTCTCTGCTTTGCTTTGATGGGCTTTGACTGGAGAAGATTTCTTAGCTCCAGTTCCCCAAACTCTGCAAAGCTAAGTTTGCAGAGTTTGCAAATATTCAACCCCTACTATACTTGATTTGACCATTGGTGGGCCGTCAGGGCCAGCTAAGCCTTCTCTGCTGGCCTAAACAGAATCACAAAGTTATAGCTATTTTATAATCTAATAATTTTTCACACTACATGCATTAATAATACATTTTACAAACATTTTTTTTTCCCATTAGTTTATTTTGTCATTGCACAGCTCCTGTCTTCCTCTGTTGCTCTGCTTCCAGCCTGCAGCGCTGCTTCCAGTGCAACTTGTTTTAAGGAGAGCTCTTATCCAATCAGATTTCACCTCTATGCTGTCTCTATAGAAGAGAGGCCCGTGGTCCTCTAGGTAGACTTTGCAGATTAAAATAAATGGGGACGATATTGTTGATTGTCATAGTCTTCAACCAATCAGATCTTTAGTTTGACATGTTGGGCGTATTCTTTGACGTGCCAGTTGTACCCAGGTAGCCTGCTAAGTACATCTGCATTAACGTGCGCCGTGATTGGTCAGTGGGCCAGCGTGACTTTTGACTAACAGAAAGCTAGATAGCAGATCTTAGTATTTAGTAAGAGTTCAGGTTGAAACATATGTAAGAAGTTATGACATTTTTAGCGTTTTGCTTGGTGTAGATTCTTTTTTTTTTTACCTATATAGTTGTGTTTTTTTAACACTCAATGGCTGAAGGAGGAGAAACGGATTTCTCAAGACCAGAAAAACTGGACATCGTATCAAAGGGTTGGTCAACCCCACAGCTAGCATGGAAAAGGATTTGTACTAACGGTATTTCTGGCTGACAGCGGCGGAGAAGCGTTGCACATTTTATGGCTAAGAATGAAACTTTTGCTGAGACCCGAGTGGATCTACAACTCAACGAACACGTTTGCAGGAGGACCTCTGACTGGAACTGAACTGAACCGATGTTCTTTACAACCGCGGTGTTAAACTCTTTGTTAACAAAGAAAGGAGGATGGACTTTGTCTTTAAGTGAACAGCAGCTGTGGTAAGTGAAGTGCTTTTGTGTTTTTACATCTGCAGTAGCGTTACTACTGTTAGATGTTCTATCATGTCGTTTTCATGATATGGTGAATATTGTTCCCTCTGATGTGAATAATAGTTGAATGGCTCGTGCTCTTCAGTGTGCGGCGGAATACGCGTGTTAGCGCTGCAGTGTTGCTGGATTGATTTGTCATGCTTTGTTGTCAAAAATATACGTGACTGGTTCATGTTCTTGTCATTGTGTTAGTTACATTGATTCTGACTATGCATTGTCCGTTAATGACGAAGCATCCCGTCATCGCGGGGTTTGCCGTGGTTGTTTTCCCGTTAAGCTAGTTTAGCATAGCCTCAGCTGTTTTTTGTTATGTTTTTTTTAGTTACGGGTTGAAAGATCACACAGCCCGTTGTCTGTTATGTGAGCGCAGTCCACCGAAAACATTATATTTCCCACAATTTAAGCTTCTGCATTTTCCAAATGCACTAGTATTATTCAAACGTTAGGTTATTCAACTGTAGTAGGACAGCACAGAAGGCCCAGGTATAAAATGCACGGCCCGCCACTGGATTTGACAAATGTGAGGTTGTGACTTGAGCGACATTGTTCACACACTCGTCTGTGTAGTTTTTACACGACGTGTGTTCCCCAGGGCTCGATACTTGGACCTCTTCTGTTGCTCCCACAAGCTCAAATTTAGCAAAAGGAGCACCTTATCGTAATTATCCCGATGACACTCAAATGTACGTACAGCTTTTATTTTTTTAATGTTTTTATGAAGCGAAGCCTGCAAGCTAGTTCAGGCAACTACGGTCCCCTCACGCGGTTTATGGTGGAAATCCACTGTACTCGCTGACGTATGTGAAGTCGACAGATGCTATTCATGTTCTATGGAGAGCAAGACATCGGGCCACAAGTTGCATAATAGATTCGGCTCGCCGCGGTTGCCCGACCATTCGCCCGTATCTGAATTTGCATAGTCGCACCTCAACCTCAACTTTATGCAAATGAGGTCAGCCCATCGCAACGCACCAGGTTAGCAAAGCTTTGATCAAACTGTCAAACCAGGCAGCGCTGATCAAATGTGAACCAAGATTCTGTCACTGCATTGCCTATGTCTCGCCTCAAATGTCTTCAGAAACATGTTTTAGAGAACTGTTGTTCTTTAAAATGAGAAGGTTTGTAATGATTTATGTGTTATGTAAAGCATGTTGAAATGCCTTTGTGTTTGAATGGTCCTGTACGAACAATCTTTCCTTGTTTATGATATCAGGGAATCTGAGGGTGGAGATTTCCTTCAAATGAGTCCTGAATAGTTCCTGGAGTGTGTCCCTCTGAAAACCGTTTCTGCTATTGTTCTCCGTTGAGCGCTATTGCAATTTTTCCATTGCGATGATAGATGTGTCCCTCAGGTTCACAAGTCTTCCATGCTCTGTACTGTAATCTAATCGGGCCACAAACGCCATGCTGTCGTTGAATCTGCTCTGTTCTGCTACACATGTAGAGGCTGTTGAGAGTAAATGTCACCCAGGATCAGTTTTGAGCATTTAAATGTAGGTTATTGGGACGTTCTGTCCTACAGGTCATTGTACTGTCAGCCATCGCTGCTGCTTTCTAGTTGCTCTCTTTCTGTTTACACCAATGTGTGTGTGTGTGTGTATGTATGTGTTTGAAGGACAGGAAATGTGACGTGGTTATACAGTGTTATTAGTGTGTATCGGAGTGTAATGAGATCCTAAACTAACAGCTTGTTGTTGTCCATCCTTGACACTAACCAGGCCTTAATGTTCCCCTGTTTACTTTGAAACGCAGGCAACGCTACATGGACGAATACTGTCCCTGTGTTAGTCATGTGACAAGCGTTTGTGACGTGTTGGTAGTATTTGGCATATATATATATTGTTATACTGTATATATTTACATTTATATATATTGTGGCAATATTAGCAGTAATGACCAGAGTGTGTTTGGGTTGTTCATTCTTTAGGTTATACGTAGATGGGGCAGGTCAGGGTCATCCTGGTGGCCTGGTTGGTTCAGAAGATTCTGGTATCGGAAGCCTTCTAGTTTTCGTTTGTAGTCCGAGTGGTATTGACCAATCATGTTTTAGTAGGCTTTAATTGAATGCAGGTAAACAGTCCGTGTGGAGCGCAAATGAGGCAGAACGCATTGGTAGAAATCTGCTATCCCACCAGCTATCGGTTGACGATGATTTAGCTTAAGGTTAGCTTGTAAACTGGCTACTTGTGAAACAATGCGTTCGTACATGTGGACCCAAACTCCAACTCCAGTCTCGTGTCTCAAGTTGTTTATCGGACTGTAAACGATTGACCGGCGCACTGAAGAGGAGGTCTTGGTCCCGGATATCCGCTATCTACACAGAACACCAGAAATATAGGCCGTTGCCCCAAGAGGCTGTATCGTAATCAGACCGATAGCCGATGGGTTCCGATATTGCCCATAATGCAACTCAGCTGCCGACAGTTCAGCCGGACATTCAAGCATGTTATTCCAGTAGATAAATGCTGAATATTGCTGAAATTTTGCACAAGATCAATATAGAAATCATGTCTTTTTTAATAGTGAACTTATTTGGTAAGAAAATACACATAAATAGCTAAACTAGGTCTTGGTTAAAACATGTGATTAAAACATCACATGTGCAGATAATTTGGCAGCCCCCCATTAAATAAGAATTATGTTGGGTAGTGTGAAAGGCATTAGAGTCTGACATGGAAGAAGCCCATGGACAGGATATGGAGGCCTAAGATGAAAATGTGTCTTATTTTAAAGGGGGATCATAGGGAATGTTTTGTTGTTGGTGATCAATGAAAGTTCAATGCTTAATGAGTCAACTTGTTTTTAATTTAATTTGTGTGGCTCCGCCAAGGTTGCTGATATTATTAAATGGGTTAATAAATGAATCTCAAATTTGAGTTTTACACACACACACACACACACACACTCTGTTCACAAGATATTCTCTCTCTCATTTTACAGAGTGTTTAAGAAGTCGAGCCCCAACTGCAAGGTAGGATGTGTGTATGTGTGTGTGTGTGTGTGTGTGTGTGTGTGTGTGTGTGTGTGTGTGTGGAGAGGTTCTTATCATTACTTCTCCCTCTATCGAACATCTCCTGTCCTGGATTATCCTAATTGCTCTCTTTCTTTCCTCAGATCACAGTTTATCTGGGGAAGCGAGACTTTGTAGATCACCTCGACCGCGTAGATCCAGTTGGTGAGTGTAAACGCACACCTGGTGTGCATGCACGCACACCTGGTGTGCATGCACGCACACCAGGCAGCGACCGCTGGGTCTGAAAAATGAAGCCAATACAGAAGTGCCCCAAATGTCTTTCTAAAATTCTTTCCAATGTCCATCAGGGGGCGACTCCTCTGGTTGTATAGAAGTCTATGAGAAAATGACTCTACTTCTCTCTTGATTTATTACCTCAGTAAACATTGTAAACATGAGTTTATAAATAAACCATAAAGCAGGGGATGCTTTAGGGCGGGGCTACCTTGTCTCTACCACGCCGTTGTCCGGTCTGGGAGTTGTGTTTTCATCTTGCAATTTTAACCCTTTCACAGAGTCTTTTCTTTCCATGAAAATTAATTGTAACTTTTTGGTTTCCATAAAATGTCTTAGTCAGCGTTTGGTTGCACTTAGCGCCACCCTCTCTCACTTCTGGTTGCAAAAAAACAAGATGGGGACAGCCTAAAAACGAAGTGTGAAGGCCAAAAACCAAGATGGCGACAGAAAACAAATGCAGAACTCAGGACTTAAAAACCACAGTCCACAAACCAATGGGTGATATCGCAGTGACTACATCCTCCTCTTATTTACAGTCTATGACGCACATGTTTAGTTGGGACACTTTTGGGGACATTACATAGAATTGCATTAATTTCCTAACTTTCCACTGACGTCTTCCAGGTTGGGGACATGGCTTTTGTCCCCAATTGCACAAGCTGTCCCCAATTAACTGGTCTTCAGTCTGAAATGTGTCCCTGAAGGTAGCCTAGTCAGCATGCAGAGTTAGATCAGACTTGAGCTCACGAGTCCATCATTCTCATCCAAGATGCTATGGTCTGCAAAGGACACATGTGTTGTGTCCAAATTTGGGCAAAAGAAAATCTCTAGTGCATTTGAGGGAGCCTGAAATAAGACAAACCGTGTCGGCCCTTTATTGATGTGTTTAGTTTAGAAATGGGGCCTCTGAATTGGGGCGTAACTATTATACACTATTATACTATTATATGGAGAGAAAGCATTCCCACCCAAAATGTCTGTGTTCCTTTAAGGAAAATACAGATGAAGTGAAAGTATGTGTGTGTCAACAAATTGACTGACATACACACACACAACCACACACACAATAGTTTAGATCTGCATTGGTTCAACATCACTGCTCACGTGCTGTGTGTGTGTGTGTGTATGTGTGTGTTCTCTAGATGGAGTGCTCCTTGTAGACCAAGAGTATCTGAAAGATCGAAAAGGTAAGAAAACGAGAAGTTGGACACAAAGTAACCGACTGACTGGATGACGGCCCATGTAATCGATGTCTTCGTCCGTCCTCAGTGTTTGTGACTCTGACCTGTGCGTTCCGTTACGGCCGGGAGGACCTGGACGTCCTGGGCCTTTCCTTCCGGAAGGATCTGCACGTCAGCACTGTCCAGGCCTTCCCTCCTCTGCAGGAGACGAAGACGCCCCCGAGCTGCCTGCAGGAGCGGCTGCTGAAGAAGCTGGGTCAGCATGCCTACCCCTTCCACTTCACCGTAAGACTTCTAAACACGAACACAGCCTCAGCCTCATCCCGACGCTGTTACAGACCAGCGTCCATGTTACAGCCAATTTAAGAGAATGACAAGAAAAGAAAGTTAGAAAAATTATCTTGGCAAAACTTTTTTTCACCTTTTCTTAAGTCATGAACACTGGACTTAGAAAATAAATCATTGTTTTTCTAACTGTCCTCTCAGGGCTTCCGTAGTAGCAGAAGGCCTGGTGAAAAATAATCACTGAAAGAATCTATGCGAACAAGTGGCATCTTTAAGAAGGAGAATCCTCTGAAGGATTTCCCTGCAGTTAATCAGTATTATTTAAAAAAAAAATCTTTTAAGATATGTTTAGCATTATAGTGTTACAGATTACTATGCACCCTAATTTGGATTTCACCATGTTTGACCTTGTGTCAGGTCCCCCAGAACCTGCCTTGCTCAGTAACCCTCCAGCCGGGCTCTGAGGACACGGGGAAGGCGTGCGGTGTGGACTATGAGCTCCGAGCCTTCTGTGCTAAGACTGTGGAGGAGAAGATCCACCAGAGGTTCAACACATTTAGACACCTGAAGCTACAACCAAACTAACACTTCCCAAGACAAATACAGTGTGCTGCTCTAGGAAACCATAGCGACTTTCTCCTGTTGCATGATATTCTTTGTGTGTGCAGGAACTCTGTGCAACTGCTGATCCGGAAGGTCCAGTACGCTCCGGAGAAGCCGGGTCCACAGCCGACAGCGGAGGTCAGTCGCAGCTTCCTTCTGTCTGATAGAGCTCTGCACCTAGAGGCCTCGCTGGATAAGGAGGTGACACGCTTTGATGTGCTGTTTGATGACTGGGACACACACACACACACACACACTGCTAAGTCTCTGTTTCTCTTCAGCTGTACTACCACGGTGAGCCCATCAGTGTCAATGTCCACGTCACCAACAACTCCACCAAGAGTGTGAAGAGGGTGAAGATATCCGGTAAATCCAACTCACACTTTGGTTTCAATTATTATCATTTCAGATGAACAAGTGAAAGAACATTTTTACCACTTGAGACAACAATTTATTCTTCTTTGGAGCCACAGTTAAAGTCAAGTATTGCACTGTAATCCAACTCTGAGCTGACATGGAGGACGGATGAGGGCTAAAGGAGCTACTAAAATAACTCCTGTCTTCCTCTCAGTTCGTCAGTACGCCGACATCTGTCTGTTCTCTACGGCCCAGTATAAGTGTGCAGTCGCCCAGGTGGAAGCAGAGTGAGTTCTTCTTCTGTAATGTTGTCCTCTTGTTTATTTCATTGGAACTACGTATTCCAGGGTTGGGAACAATGAAGATATACTGTATATAATAATGTTTTCGATGATCCACAAGAATAAAGGTGTTTTTAAGGGATTTTTAGTGCAGCATGATTACATTCAAAGTCAACGCAAAGACGCAAATAGATGCAAATTTGAGTAACGTTTTCAGCGTATTGGGAACTTCCACTACAGGTGCAAGACAGCAATAGTGGTTATTTCAGTCTTGGTAGATGTTTAGTGTCTCTTTGTAGTCCTTACACATCTCTCTGTAGTTTTGTGTCTCCTTGTGGTTGTTTTATTTCATGGTGATTGTAAGTCTCTATGGGTCTCTTTGAAGCTTCTTTGGTCTCTTTGTAGTCTTTTTGTGTCTCTTTGCAGCTGTCTCTTTGTAGTTGTCTCTTTGTAGTTGTCTTATGTTAATGGTGGTATCTTTGAGTCGATTCCTGGATGGTCCGAGTCTGTTTGAGTGACATTTTGTAGGTGAAGGCCAGGGGCCCTGGCAGTTTTGGCCCCTGGGTCTTTGTCCAGTAGACCCATTTAGGATTCCAACCATGCCATCTAACCCTTACAAGTATGTTGGCCCTGCTCAACATATACAAAGGGGTTCCACAGGAATCACTTTTAGGTATTGTTCAGTGTGGCTTTGTAGCACAAAGGCAGTAAAACTGCCTGTGCCAAAGCACACTGACTGTAATCCTGCGGGCTTAATAATAATAATAACTAGAAAATTCCTAAAGAAATTTTGACAGTGTGGCTTCTACTGCCCGAAGAAATCGCAATATATATATACACACGCCAATGTTACCGGTAGTGTCATTGAGGTTCAA